GTCTCGTCCCACAAACGAGCAGACGGAAATCGCGAGTCCTCGACGTCCTGGCTAATGATGCTGCACGTTGCCCTCTCTGCTTATGGGGAATATGTGTAAGTGCACGGGTGTATAAGTACGTATATATACACATAGGGGCCACGTTGGTAACCCCCTTCTTATCCCCCTACTTTGTTTGTTGATCCCTTGCGTATTCGCCGAGAGCCAACGACCTGCGCTTCCGATCTTTCTTTTCTGCGTGTGGATCGGGTATGGAACTGTTGGAATTTATAATCTTTATTTTTTTTTTGTCGTTTGGGTTTTATAGATTACGATTTTGAACGGTTTGAATTGTAAAATTGGAAGTCATTATATAAGGATTGTATAGTAGGAGGTAAAATTATCGAATTTATTTTGAAAGAATGGTTCTACTATAAACTACAAGTGAAATGCAAATGAAATCATAAAAATTGTATAATTTAGATGTTTAGATTAGCTAAATGACGTAAATAACAATAGATTTATAATTAGAAATAAAAATAAAAGAGAGTTATTGAAAAGAAACACGTAAGAATGTTGCTCCCTAAAAAAATTCTAATTCAAAGCATCTAATTATAAGCAACATTAAAGACACGTTCAAAGCGTCAAGAGAAATCGGGATGCGTGGGATCGGCGAAAGTGTATGCATTTGGTAAAAAGGTCAATCGAAAGCAACCTTTTAACCATGCATAGTTTACAAAATATCTAAACCTGTATAAAAATTCAATTTTATATTGGAATGATTCTATCTCAATAGAGATTTATAACAAGGAATACAATTAATTATACTAATAGAGTGTTTTTTCAACAAAATTCTCTCGATAATAAAATAATTCGAAAATCAGATAGGACATTATTCTTACGAACTTTCTTTTTCATACGAAATATTTTCATATAGTAGATTTATCCATCAAAACGAGACACTCTATACACGCATATTTGGTACACATTACGCGATATGCACTAAATATAAATCTCTAAAGACTTATTCAACGAAACCGAGAAACACACCGACAAAATATAACCTCGAATACCGCTTCACCTCGAGCAAAGTGCATACCTTCGAGCAAATCGTATTCCCGCGTTAACATACAAAATGTCGGCTGCGCATCTCGTCGGTTCGGTTTCGCCTTGGGACGGGTAGGCGAACGAAGGAAATCAGAAGCTGGACGTCGCGGCTAATGATGCTGCACGGCTTGTCCAACTGGCACACAGTAGTAGACTCTATTCTTTATTCGTTACTTTATTTGCTTCTTCTCTCCCACGTGCAGGCCGCGATTCACTCGCGTGTCGCGTTCAGACGTCGCCCGTTACCTCTTCCGTCGTGTAGCTTTTTGCTCGGGCTGCCGTACGGCTAATTTATGTACTTATGAGAGTGTAGCGGAGGGATAGAGGCAAGGGGGGAAACCGTCCTGCGCAGTGTGTGCCAGGTCTGCTCGTTCCAATAATGACGCCCTGTTCGTCGCGTAATTTACGCGTTTTTGCCTCGATGGAATGTTGTACCCGCCACGGTGATCGGTTGAATTTGTGGCTGTTCAAACGTGGCCTCCTCCCGTGACATAGTTCTTTCCAGTAGAGAAGGGAAAGAAGGATCGAGGGAAAACTCAAATTCCCACGCAGTCGAGAATTATAGAGGGCGCGTATCACAGAGCTCGTCTTGTACGGACGCCATTTGCAAGAGGTAAAGTTATTATTTATGGGACACGAAGCTTTTTTTAACGTGGCACGCGAATGGGTCTCGATAATAGTTGTGTACGATGTAATTAGCATAACCAGATGCAAGGGAAACTTGGATAGTTTGGATAAGTGCGTTTGAGTGGTCCGCAGAAGAAGACTTGTGAAGATTTGTGAGGTTAAATGGTCGGTTTTGCGTCGTTACGTTAAATTCGGTGATAGTGATTGCGTAGATATGTTCAACTTTATGTTATTTGATATATAATTGATATATAAAATTGAGATGAAGATTAAGAGATTAGAAAAACGATTAAGAAGTTAGTTTGAGGAATTTTTCTTTGAGGTTAGGTTAGACATTCATCTTTGAAAAATTTCTAGTCTCGTGATTTTAATTTTGTAATTTATGTTATTATCCTATATTGGAATTGAATATCTTAATTTAATTTCCATATTTATATCTTTTTCAATATATTAATTTGAGATTTGATGACTGATTTCTAGTTGTTCCTCTACGATGATCAAAATAATCTACGCCATTCATCGTATACGTAAGCAAAAGCAAGCAATGACTATCGATGTTTTCGATCGTAAAATATCATCATCTCTGACATACCTTCCATTCGTCAAGGGCTTGGCCAATAGCCTTGGATAGTTAATTGCCCAGGTACGTTCGCCCATGTTATCGTCTGTTATCGATTGATAACACGTCGGCCGCCAGTGAGGTAACTGTAACTTGATAGATCGTACTTCATGGATCACGTTGGTTTCCAACGCGATCGACCCTTGGGCGATCTTGGACAGGATGTTCCCATGCCGGTTGACGTTTATCGCCTTCCTTTTTCGCTCGTTCGCCGAGAAATCAACGTTGCATTACGCGCATGCTTGAATACCAGATCCTACGGATGCCGTGAACTTGGATACGTGTATCTGCTTAGTAAAATATTAATCACGCGTGAAAATATATTTCGAGGAAAATAATCTAGTATCGCTCGTGGATCGTGTTTTTCTTTTTTTTAAACAAATATTGATTTCTGATCGAATTATACGGGTCAGTGCGGCTGTTACTTGATAGATCGTTAAATTTTTCTTTTTATTTTCGTTTTTTTATCGTCAATCGATTTCTTCGAATCGTGGATAATAAATCTTTGATGATTTTTTGTTTCGATATTGCGCTATTATCTTTATCGAATTTGAAATTATTGAAATATAATCGATCCTCCTGTAATATGGTTAATTCGTTCCGTGTCGAAATCGTATTAAGTGAAACGTAGAACTAGAACGGAAGAATGTCAACAAAAACAGCGCGATGAAAACATTCTTACTAGGTGAGTACTCTCCAAGTTTATTATGCTCTGGTATAAACAAAAGAAGTTTCTCAGTTTTTGTATCGTGTTATAACAGACCATTGTACATTAAAACTTCTTCATTCGATCGGATAGCATTGAAAGCGAGCCATACAAATTCGAAAATATCGTAACGTTAATTCGTGTGTTAATTCGTTAAATTCTTAGATATATCCAAAGAAATCTATTAGAAATCTAAAATCTCGTATCTCCAAAAAACACTTCACTATCGAAACTCGCATATAAACTTATCCGTGTCGCACACTTTCGTTAAAAAGTCAATACCCATAGAAAGTTCATCCGCAAAACTATTCACGCGTGTGAAGAAACGACAAAAATTCCTCTATTACACGAGTATGTTCGTGATAAAAGCGCAGCAGGCGGTTTCGATCACAATGGCAGTTCTTGCTGGTGTCAAGTTGATTAGCCTGAGCCGTGGAGGTTTCGAGGCACGTGTCCTTCGTCGGTAACCGTTATGTGGACGTGACCTATGTCGTCGTCCATAGCGAAGGCCTAGGATCAATGAGCGATCGTTTCTTGGAAGTTAGGATTATGCCCGTGGCTATGCACAATGTTCCACTCCTAACGGTCCACCCGTGCACCAGTGACCCGAACAAGCGCAAACTTCGCCCTGCCGCATTGTTCTCCGGCCAATCAGACCAGTTGGCTACCCTGTTTTCTTCTCTAATTGTCGCTAATAAGCGTATTTTATTGGTCTTTCTTCCTCTAACGATAGACCCTCGCTTGGAGAGAGATCTGGGAACGATTACCGCTTGCTAAAGTTTTTCAGACAGATTATAGGCTGTGGAGTTATCGGGTAGTTAAATTTTTTCTATGCATCGAGGAGGATTCTCTTAATTATACTCTATTTATTTCTCTGATTTTTTAATTTTCATTTCTTCAAAACTTATTATTGCTTCGACGTTGATCAATTGGTTCTTTCAGTTGATTCTTAAAATTTATTTATTGGAGAAGAATGTTTTGAGGCAATTAAACAATCACTTGTTTTTTCCAACTTCAAATATTTTACAAATCTCTATCAAAAAAGTAATTCTGATCCATTCTTTAATCTATTCTAAGAATGTCATCAACTTGAAGAAACCATAAATTAGAAATCCATCTTTATTTCCACTTTATCCACTCTCCACAAAGTCCACGGTTCAAAGAAGAAGGATCTTTCTCAGACGATCAGTCTTAATTCTATCTTGTCACGAGGATTAGAAAAAAATCTCTAGATAACTAAACTGGTCCTCTTCTCGTTCAATAATGCTTCTTCTTCTGTATTTCTTTTTCCATGTACACATTTGACGTTTACGAAGACGACATCTTCGGTTTTTTGTCGCTCAAATTCCTCGCTTGTCACCTAATTTGATCCGCTCGAACGATCTCGCCTCTTTTTCAAGCGGAGAGACTGGTTTTTGGCTTCTTAGATTCGCCGATTAAGATAAATCTAAGCGAGGATATAGAGAACGGTTCCCCTTCGTCGGGAGGGGAACAACTTCGGGGTGAGTAACCTTATTTGGCGTGACAATTCGACGTGGCTGACGCGAAAGCCTGTTAACAAGTCCGAATTAATACCCCTCGTTCGAACCTTTCGTGACTTGTCTCGACCACGTTCCTGGAGGGATTGGCTAAATCAGATTAAATTTTAACTCTTGCCAACAATTTCCATTCAAAAGATTCCTCTCTATATATCATCCAAATCGTCATATAATACCAATATCTCTGAATTGTATCCTTATTCCAGATATTACTTCTACACAAGACTTGTCCAATCAAAGAAAAATCCCCTCCACAAACCCAAACCCAATCTTCCATCCAACCTCACGATCGATCCTCCACGAAATATATCTCGAATTTCTCCTTGCACGCACGCCACAAAACACCCTTCTCCCCTTTCTACCCGTTTCTAAACCCGAAGCGCCAGATATACGGACTCAATCTCCTCGAATGATACGAAGGAAACTTTTCCATCGAAGTAATTCCGCTCATTACATCCACGCCGCTCATCACGCGCTGATGATGATACCCTATCCGGCCGTGTGGAGCACGAGAGATAGTTAGCCGTTTGTAACGAGGACGAGGGTGATAAATTTTCGCGTGTCGGCTAACAAGACCGCTCGAAAATTGCACGGCCTTTCTTAGAAATTCACCGCCTGGTCCTCGCCTCCTGGTTTGGTCTATAAGGAGAGCTGCCTGGGAAGGGAATAAAAGAAAAGAAGAGAGAGAGAGAGAGAGAGAGATCCAGACGGAACCACGTAGGCGTCTAAGGGACAACGTCCTGGCTTTCAGGGTGCGTTGCACCCGCCCGCCAACCTTTCGTCCGAAATCCTTGAAAGGGGGGCTGGAGGAGCAGAGCCGGTGACAAGGGTACGCGCGAGAGGAGATCATTGTGGGGAGGAAGAAGGCATCGCGCCCACGTTCGACAAACCGGACCTGTCCGACGCTCTTCTTCCCTGCACGCTCATGATGGCCGCGTTTCTCATCCGACTTCGCGGCTACCTGCTGCTCCTCTTCGCCACAGTCGCATAGCGGATCGGACGATTAGGCTCTTCATCTCGATAAACGAGTGCATCGATCGGGCTGAAGATTTTTGGAATTTATGAAGAACAAGTTTTAACATTGTCTTAGAAAATTATTATCGTGAATATCGTTTTTTCTTTTTTCCAAAATTTTTAAAAGTCAAGAGAAAAGAATTCTGTTTTAAGAATACGTTATATCCAGAGGAATTCTTCCTCATCGTCAGAGTGCACACGCATGCTCTAAGGTGAGCAACGCGACCAGTCGCGTATATGGACATAGAGGGCAAGGCGAGCGCGATGCGGCACGCGTCGGCATTCTGAATCGCGCCGCTGTTTTCCGGTCTGCGCCTCCGCCGGTTCCGTTAACCGCGTTATGTGATTGTGCTAATGGGTCAAATTGCGTCTGTCATCTAACGAACACGTGGGCGGCCCTCCCCAATGAAGATATTTTCGTTGATTGATATCAATTGCTAGTAGATGATTTTGTACCAGTAATAATCATCTAAATTCGTCTTGATTTTTATCGTTTCGATTAAAAGTTAAATAAGTAGTTTAAATGGAGAGAAGGAAATTCAGATCGGTTAAATATGTCTTCTAACGCGTAGATTGGAAAGAATAATCATCGTTTAGGAGATATTTTAAATATTACAAATATCAACTTTGTTCCAAATCAAATTAAGAGAAATTTAGAGAGAATATTTTTTTTTTTCTAGAGCGGATCTTCGGCTCTACGCCGTTCTCCACCGACTCGAAATGAGGAGAGAGAGAGAGAGAGAAAGAGGATTCGTGCATCAAGATCGGATCGATTCTCAAGAACGAGAAAGTAATGGCCCATGAAAATTCACGAGGTACGGAGCAGGGAGCGATAGGCTGCGTGGTAAGTGGCTAATCGTGATCATGAATAAACATTATCGTGGAAATTGTGACATCTTAGAGACGATTCTTGCGGTTACCTCATCCTCCTCCTCGTCCTCCTTTGCCATTCTCTTAGAACGAGTTAAGCTAATTAATTCGATTCGCCGAGTGTCAATAATTAAGCCACCGAATGCAAACCGAGGGATAGAGAATAATATATGTATATATTTCCTTATTCTAATATATATTTTCTGCGAGAAGATAATAAGATATTTGTATACTGTTTATATATTTTATTACGAAACGTAGGCACACTCGATATTTTCGTACGTCAGAAGTGTTTAGAGTTGATAAGGAAACTTGTAAGTGATTTTAAAAATGTAAATATTCCGTGATGAGATCGTGTTTTAATAATATATAATGAAAGTCTTTTATGATACGATTTCATTTGCAGAGGATGAAGTAATATGAGAATAGATTACGAGTGAACACAATTTTTTTAACGAGATATTTTTAATAATTATATAGAAACATAATTCATGTAAATATCTCATTTACAATTTCTATTCAATATATTTATTTCAAATTTCAATAGCAAGTTCCTTAAATACGTACTATATTATACACGACCAACAATTCCACTGCTATTGAAATTTTCAAATATCTATATTATAATATTAATTGTAACTAATTATCATCCAACAGTGAAGAAATACGTCATATCTGTCGAAAATTTGGGCTAGTGCTTTATCCGGCCAGGTGAAATTCGACGATGGAAAAGAGTGGTGATGCAGACGTGGAAGGTGCAGTCGCAGTGAAACGACCGGTAGGTAGGCTGTAAAAGGTAAACCCGTCGTACCGGCACCGTTCGTGGTCCGCGGGCATTCCAGGCGACGCCAACGTGCCCTCCTCCTCCGCCTCCTCCACCTTCTCTTTCTTCTCCTTCTTCTTTTCCTCTAGCTTGCCCACCTTCTTCGCCCTCCCCCTCCTTCCACCCTTACCAAACCTCTCCCAACGTTTGCCTCTCGCGATAATGCAACCAAGTGCTGCAAAGTTGCCGAATCGAAGATTTAAGACTTTCACGGTTTATCTCTTTACAGGTGTTTGTTATCGAGATTTTATTTTACTTTCTTTCTTTTTTCTTTTACACGTTTGTCGATAATGTATAGTAAAAAGTGTGGATGAATTGTGCTGTAGAAAAGAATAAGTATAGTAATGATTAGTATAGTGTACAATCTAGTCTAGGGATATTTTGTTTTTCACTCGTCAAATTTTCGTAATTGTAGGATTTTATTTTATTTTTTTTTTCTATTTTTCGTTCGTAGAATGTTATTTTAGGTTAGGTTGGATTTGGTGAAGGAATTGATAGTTGTTTTGTGATTGTAATTTTTTTTCAGGTTCTATGTTTAGTAGTTACTTCAAAGCATAAAGAGATTTGTTAATAATTGTTGAGGTTAAGTAATTATGGATTAATTGCTATTTTAAGTCACCAAAAAGTTTGTCAATAATTTTTTTTTTTTTGAATTGGTGGATGTTTTAGGGATCTATTATAAAAGTTTTTTAAACTTTGGCAATTATTGATTTATATAAAAATTTATGGGTGTTTTATGATTTCATCATAGAACTTTATCATTTTATTATGTGGAACTCCTTTTTAATTATAAATGTCGAGCACTTTCCACTATTAATCATAAGATCATAAATTCATTTTCTTTGAGAGGAATGAAACAGAAAAGTTTTCTCATTAAATTTAATGTTTTATATCTGTTTAATTATATTATTTCTCATAATGAACAAGATCTTTTCCAGGATCTTGTTTTGAGATAGACTTTAAATTAAATCTTTTCTCTCAACTCATAAATCATTATAAAAATTAATGATAAGATTGAAAAATATATGTGAATTTTAATTACCTACAGTTATCCTCATGGACAAGAAAATTTATGTTATTTCTTAATTAAAGGTGAATGAATAATTGCAATTCATTGGACAAATCCAATATCCAATTGTCTATGTCAATAAATGTATGACTTATTATATAATCCAATTAATTAGCATATACATATATGTATTTAAAGCTCATTCATTTTGATCCAAAATTAATCATTTCTCCACGATTAAAATTTCAATCGCAATTATTCATATCAAAAAATCAAACGTTCATTTCAAAATATCAACGAACCTTTCACATCCTACTCATCCACGAAAAAAATCTCAAAGTTTTAACAAAAATACCAAGAACGTACAACGCTCACAAACCGTAAGATTGGCGCGTATCAAAGGACAAATACGAGATCAGAGGATTTGTCAGAATTTTAGAATCCTATTTCGTAACAAAGGACGACATATACAATCGCAATATACGCCGATATATTAAGGCTTGCTCACGGGACGTTTCGATACTTTCGTGATCCAATGGTGCAGGAGGCCGAGCAGGGGGATAAGCAGATTCATTCGATTCCTTCGTAGGCCGAACGTTACGAGCCACCGACAACTGATCTTTTACAGCTACTTGCTATGCATTGAACAACGTCGTGTTCGGACAGGGTGTCGTTTAACGGAAGTTGTTGCCTGGTAGATTGCATCCACCACCGTTCCATCTGTAAGGAATTTAATTACACAGGTGATGTGCACGCAGAAGAGCTATGAATTAAGTTTTGCGCGCGGACGAATTAATATATATATATATATATAGTTTTTGGAATTTTGTTTGTAATTAACCCTTTCGAAGGATCAATTGCAGCGGATTTTTATGGATTTCGTTGACTTTTGGAGTCAGGTATTTTCTTTTTCGAATTCGATCGATATTAATGGGGGCGAAGAAAAGTAATTTTCTTTTTTTTTTAACAATGCGTGTCACGATTCGTGAGTGAAATATATGTATATATTTTTTAAAGATATCTTTCTTATTTCCATTATAGTTTCGTCGTAGTTTCCTTCGTGAAAAATACTCGGGATGAATACGTAATGGCCGAACGTGCATGGATTCGGGCGTATCTATTAAATATAGTTTTTGCGTGAAAGTGTGTCACAAGTTCCACCCTTTCTGAAATTTCTTATTTCTATTTTGGTAAGCGTTGAGTTTCAAGAAAAGGAAGAAACGAAGATTTCGAATTTATCACTTTCAACGACTTAATGTTCCCCATTCTAGTTATAGAATTGAATTTCAATTTGATGAATTTATATGCGATGCTACGCGGCATTCCGTGATACATGGGAAACATACAGAAGCAAACGAAACGTTATACGGTATCAGGTAGCGAGGGAACAAGCATTTACATCTGTTTATAAGAAATGAAGGATGTAATGATATACGCAGACAGAAAGTTTGAATTTAAATTTCAAAGATCGGGCACGCCTAATAATTCACACGATAAATATGAAGGCATACGATGCCTGATTTTTCAATGCCTGTTTTCAAAAAAGTAAGAAACATTTCTATCGAAAAGATTCGAAAAGAACTACATACTTACAACATCGACAAATATCAAATTTCCAATCTGTTCCAACTCCTCTTTTAAAACCTTCTCCAATTTCCCTTTCAGGATAAAATTCAGCGGATAGAATCTCTTAAGAATTCGAATTCTCGAACAACAACTAACCGAATCGAACCGTGTCAAACCGAGTCGAGGAAAGGGCCCATAGAGAGATAAAAAGATAGAGAGAGAACCTCGCTCGATTCCACCCCCTTTCAACCGCTTTATCTTCCTTCCTTCGATTCGAAAGGCCTTAGGCCGCACGTTCGATTCATCGTTCCATCCTCGAAACCAGAGAGAGACAGAGAGAGAGAGAGAGAGAGAGAAAAAATCCCTATACACCCGATTCGCAGATTGCGAGTCTCAAGGCGACTTCTCCTCCGCCGGTACAATCGCGGTCGGTCGTATATAAGCCAAGATGAATCCCCTAGCCATCGGTACGCGTAATGTCTTCATTGAAGACGGTGCCTCTCCTATCATAATCTCGCTATGATGGACGAGCGGTCTTTATGCGGGGACGCGGAATGGAACGAGATTAAACGAACGGTCATCAATAGCGTGAAAGGCTTGGTATATCCCGCGTTCGAAAGGGGGTGGAAGCAAGGGGTCGGGCGGACGACTCAATTAGTTAGTTCTTCTATCCTTCTCTGATCCCAGCAACACGTGAAACTCTTTTCTATCGTCGCTGTTCGAGCGCATGCGCGATTTGTACAAATAACGGCGAGGAAGCCTAACCGTGAATTAGAAGTAAAAAGTATCGATGGACAGTTTTTCTTTTAATTGGATCTTCTTCGTAGAATAGAATTCGTCGATATCTCGTGTAAGCAGTTTATAAGAATTCTTTGAAAAGAAACAGAATAAGATCGAGGTTATATCATTATGCGTCACATCGAAAATCTAACGAAAGGATAAACTCTTTTATTATTTTTCACACCCCAAATCTCTATTCCTATTCTATTTTTGCCTGCTATTATTGATATCTCGTGTAAGCAGTTTATAAGAATTCTTTCATTTTTCATCCCCCAAATCTGCTATGAAACGTATAGGAAAAGGATCCCTTTTGTGACTCGTTCGCGTGATTCAAAATCACGTCTATTGTAATAAAGTTTCACGCACGATCTTTTCGAAATTCGAAAGAAAGCGTTCCACTTCTCGATAATATCGAAGAACGATGTCTAGGCTGCATGATAAATGTAACCTGAATTCTTGTTATATAGACAGGTGAAAGCAATAATAATTGATATCACGTATATCATTTTTAAGAAAATTTTATTTCGAGTCTTGACAATTGAATGGTTTCATTGCGAAAAATATAATAGGAAAATTTAAAGAACGATTCTTCTAAAAATTAAGAATAAAAAAATCCGTATCTTCTTTGTTTTCTAATTTTAACAACATCCAAGAAAAAAGAAATCTAATATAATAAATTGAAGAACAAGTAAATATTGAAATATAAAAAAAAAAAAAAAAAAAAAAAAAA